ACATAGTCCTCAACAAATGCTTGTAAAACAAATGAATGGATGCTTTTAATAATCATAGGTGTTTCTGTGTTTCTTTAAACTATTTCAAAAGATATCCACAGAAAATTTCATAATTCCTCCTAGACAATACTAGCTATGTATTCCATGTGATAGGACACAGGAAATGCTACCTCCAAATATAGACTCATGGTAGACTGAGTATTTTAAGTTGAAGGAAATCAAGAAAACTATAGAAGCATAAAGATCTCTCTGACCTTCTTCTGTTCCCTCTTTTGAGGACCTTCCATGTGACACACACTTGCTCATATCTATAAAGTAGGAATATCACACAGAGAGGCCAAAAAGAATCTGAACAAACAGGCCTGGCCAAGTCACTTCCCAGTTTATTGCCATTAGAACATACCATTTTTTTAATCAAATTATCCTTTTACACAACTGTCCATTCTTCATTCTAACCCATGCATAAAAATAGTTTTCACCATTTCTCTAGGTCTTCATTGCTGAAGGCGCCTGTGTTATGCAAAACTTTGGATACATAAATTTATTATATTTTTCTCTCATTAATCTGTCAAGGAGTGCTAGCCAGGAATCTGAGACCAGTGAAAAAAAATATTGGCATACATATGGCACTTATTATCTAATAAGTTTTAGTAGCTTTTGTTGTCTACTGAGATGTGATGCATACTGAATTCTCCATTTATTTACAAAGTATATATGTAAGTATTTTGTAAAATAAACCAGTGATCATATAACTTTTGGATCTGTGTGATAGTCTTATTTATGGAATGAGATGGTTTTCATTATCTGATTTTATTCAGTCAACAAAATTTTTTTGTTACTTATTATATACCAGGCACTATGCTAGGCACTGTATATAGTGTTTAAGTTTTGTGGGACACAAATAAACAATAAATAATTATATATGTTTTATATAAATTATTATACACATTTTTAAATAATTATGGCAAGCATCATGAAGTGAAAGAAGTCTGTGAGACATGATGATTAGATTGTAATGTTAGAAAAAAAAGCCTTTCCAAAGAGATCTTAAATAGACTTCAGCAAAGTCTGAGAAATTGGAAGCTATCACATAGTGTTTAATATTCATATATATATCTATATATGTTTCTAGTGGTGAATCCATGTGGGTCTGCAGCAACCTCATTTCTGGTCTTCTCAGAAGAAAGAATTCAACCTAGGGGCAAATGGCAGAGTGAGAGGCCAACGCAAGTTTTAGAGCAGGAGTGAACATTTGTTAAAAAGTTATGGAACAGGAAGGGCAGGAATGAAAGGAAATAAAGTACACTTGGAAGAGGGCCAATCAGGCAACTTAAGAGATTCAAGTGTGTGGTTTGAGCTTTGACTTGGGTGTTTCATACATTGGCAAGCTTCCAAGGGGTTGCATCTCTTCTCACTTGATTCCTCCCTTGGGTTGGGCTGCCTTCATGCACAGTGGCCTGCCAGCACTTGGGAGGGGTTGCATGAACAGTGTGTTTACTGAAGTTACATGTATGTTCAATTGTGGCATTTTTCCCTTACAGGTCGAATGTTTAGACTCCACCATTTTGCCTCTTAGTGACTTGAGGCATTTTTCACTTCCCAGTTAAGTGTTTCTAGAGGAAGGTCATATACCAGTTAAACACTACCATTCTGCTTCTTAGCGTGCATGCTTCAGTATACCTGCCCAACTTCTGAAATCTTTTTGGGAAGCTGCCGATCACCAGTCTCTGGTGTTCCTATCAATTGGGAGATTTGCTTTTCCCTGGCACATGCTGTAACCTATAATTCTTTAGAGAGACAGTTTAACAGCTGAACCTGTTAAACTGGCATTCTGGTGGTTGGTGGGGAGGGGCCCCTCCTGCCCTGCTGATACCTGCCTCACTACCTAATGTAACACATAGAGCAGAGGAAAATTTACAAAAGATAGAGAAAACTGTTTGAAACTACTATTATAATCTGAGCAGCAAAATATTTGTGAAATATTTTAAATGTCCCTAACAAATATAACTTAATAGGTTGTATATTTATAATGGTATTGTTATAGTGGACCCCAATTTTCTCTTCAAAGAATCAGTATACGTTCAGCTCTTATTCTGTAATTCTCTATTTTAAAGAGAATTTTAACTTCCTTTTAATTCTAGTAAACAACCTTCTCCACAGGTTGTAATCAGTAGTTCACATCTGATCCCCCACCCCAACCTGACTCATCCTGGTCACCGGATCACCCCTGGCTGCCTACTCTGACATACCCGTAATGGTCCCTTCCACCAAAACACCCACCCTATCACTCCAGCTCAGACCCCTGCTCCTTTTAAAATAGCCAATCAGGATTAGTCTAGCTAGTGTGGTCTAACCCTAGCCAATAGGGGATAACACAGCAGCAGAGACGATCCCCTATCAGACATAAGTAACCCTTCCCCCCTTGCCCAAGTGTGCCGCGACCATCATTGCTCTGTTTCCCGACATCATTCTATAAAAGTAAACTGCCTTGCTGAGAGGGCATATCTTCAAGTGCTATTTCTTTTGTGGCATCAAAATTTTACTTATAATAGTATTTATAAATATATTAAACAAAGCTTAGAGATCTTTTATGCTCTATAGAAAACAAAATTTTAGAATGGAAAGAACAGGGCAGAAATATGTCTAAGTATATGTAATTTGCAGATGGTATAATGGTACTTTTTTTTTCAAATTTCATGAACCAGTTTTCTTTTTTTGCTTTTTTTTTTTTTCAGGGAGATGTTTACCAGAAAATTTTGAAGTTCTAAAATAATTTTATTAAAAATATTGATTTCACACTGCTGTTTATTAGAAGGTCTTACATGGTTTTAAGGTCACAGTCTTAATTTAAGGATTGAGAGATGTGAAGGATATCTCATTTAATATGGTGAATTATGCATGAAAGGTCTAATAGGTTCCCTACAGTAATGCCTTAATTATGCTTTAATTCATCAATAAGAAAATCCTGGTTTATGTTGAATGTTCCACATTTTCACAACTAGGACAAAACTAAAAGATTATACCATGTAAATGCAGCATAAAGTCATTTGTATCCGCCTGGAAGAGCATTTCTTTGCTACTTCATGAAATGATCACATTTGTTTTGCATTGCAATACAGAATATAATGAACTATTTTAAATTAAAAAAATAGAAAAAAAATCATATCAGTTTATGTTGCTCATTTACCCACAGTAAAGACTGTTGTCATGGCATGCTAAAAATACTTTAGAAAGATTTTACCGATTGCTTTCATTTAACTGCCACTTTGCCATTTATTGGCTTAATTTTACACAGAATGAGGCACACTTAAAACACAAGGAAAGATATTAGGTTTTAGTTTTACACACTCCATCATGAAAATAATAAAATAAAGAAAGGATTTTTTTTTCTTTTTTGATATTTGCTAAGTATCTCTCATTAAAGAAAAAAAAGTCCCCAAATCTCTCAAGTCACTCAGCACAATCTAAACACTTATCTATCTCATTTTACAACTTATGCCATTGTCTTACAAAATGTACAAAGTAATCAAGTGGAATTTCCACAGTAAAAAGCCATATTGTTACTGGGAAAAATCTTTATTTCTTAAAGCTTTTTTTTTTTTTTTAATTTTTGGTGAAACTTGTTTCAAACCACCTCTGCATTTTTTCAGTATAAATTAATAAGTTTAAGTAAATATACTTTTGTTTAATTAAATAAAGGAGCTATGAAAGTGCATTTATCAAGATCTAGGCCATTAAATTGAAACATATCTATAACTACTTAATTATCAGAATAAATGACTATGCTAAAAAAAAAGACAGGTTGGTTAATTTTTGTTGTTGTTGCTACAAACACTTGCATATTAAGAGACAGTCAAGTTTTTGTCAATTCCTTTGTTGTATAAATGTTCCAAGGGATTATCTAACCTGTGTTCAAGTTAACAGCAGAAAAAGGCTATATGTGTCAAGCATACATAAACCAATAACATGGGTCTGACGACCCCTGAATGTGACCTGCTCCCAGAGGAAACCAATTTAATGCTCTATCACACATAGAATAGTATATATGAATCACAAAACCTCCTGATAAATTAATGACGGGTATATCTGAATAGGATTCCTTCTAAGTCACTTATCTGCAGCCAGGCAAGCTTGTTTCACCCTCACTTTCAAAGATAGAGCCACATAGCATGTTGCCTTGGCAGATTCTCAAAGAGCAAACAGTCCCAATTAGCCATTATTGGGGGAAAAAATTTCCTTATTATTTCAGTTACTGCGACAGCAAATGGGATAAAGTGAAAACTATCTTCCAGTTGAAAATTCATCAGTCAATTGCCAGGCCTTATGTATTCTCTAACTTTCACAGGCTCTGTGCATCTTGCTCTTTTACTTTTATTTTTGATAGTTCTACTATCCCAGAGTCGTAGCCATGGCAGGGTTCAAGAACAAAAAAGCAGTCTATCAAAGACAAGTTGTCAGAGGACAAACAGTAAGAAGAGATGCCCACCATTAGCAAGTAGCTGAAAGACAGAAGTATGACAGAGCAAAGAAGAAAAGTGCGCCAAGCATTCATCATTAACTGACAGCTTATTCCATTTGGAAAATTCAAGAGAAAAACTGAGATAATAAATATATGTCCTAAGTATTTAGGGATATTAGTCACAGAAATTTTAAAATTATGTTTTAAAAAAGCATGGAAAATGTTTGTGAGGGATCTCATTTACACACTTTATCAACCATAAATACATGGGAATATCAAAACCATGTAAAACCATATGCCTTAAACTGAATATCAGTTAATAGCACAAATACATTATCTTCTTCAGAGTTAAATTATCTACTATTCTTTTAAACTAAACAATAAGACAAATATATCAATTCTCACATTCTGTATTCCTTATAAGAATGCAGAAATTGCACTTAATCAAGACTATCTCAATAAATATCTTAACAAATTCCATGTCATATGACCAGGTCAGTTACATAAGCATAGTAAAATTTAATAAAACAACAAGACTCACGTTTTAGTTTCTGTAGAGATAGTCTTTCTCACGCAGAATCAGGGCTCTGCTTTCTGGGTGAGTCTGTGTTAAATTAAAATGACAAAAATCTTAGTTTCTCATTCCACTGTCACTAAGAATGCATGCAAATAAACTCCTAGTTAGTCAAGGGGAAAAAAATTGCATTAAGGAGTACTGATTTGTAAATCTGTTCTTTTCAAATGTAGATGATGTTTACCCCTCTCCCTCCCCCCATATCTTTGCAAAATTTCAGCCCAATGAACTCATTACTGTAGAAACTCAACTAAGACGATGGTCAGTTAATGAAATTCAGGTCTGGGATTAAGCTCCATAAACATGCAAAATGGCTGGGCATCTGGAAGTGGGAGAGACATGGATGATGCTAGAAAGAAAAATAAATAAGCCATATAATTTAGAGAATGCACAATATAATCAATTTAGCTTAATTAACTGTTGTCTTATATTTTAGGTGATACAGAGTACCCTAAATGTGTAAAAAATAAAAACAAAATGCTTTGAAAACATTACCAATACCATATTCAATGACACTTGGGGGGACATAAATATAGCTACTAAATTTACCTCCTTTCAAATTACACGGGTTTAATTAGATTGGATATATTTTTTTTACAGTCACAATAATTTAAACAACATTAAACACCATTCAAAATATGAAAGAACTTCAGTTAGTAGGCAATAAAAATTATTATTCCTGGTCTATCTAGCTACTATGCTTATAGTGTTATTCGATTTACAATGCACGTTATGTTTATAGTGTTATTCGATTTGCAATGCACATTATGCTTATAGTGTTATTCTATTTGCAATGCACGTCAAAGTCATCAGTAGTTTCTTAGAAGTTTTAGCAGATGCAGAACTAAGATGTTCACTTAAAACATTAAATCCTACTTGTGAACCTCCATATTATAATAATGCTGTTTATTTTTTATGAGTTAGAAAAAATGTAAAAATATAATCAGAACAATTCATTTGAATATTTAAAATTTTAAATGTTATATATTATTCTCTAGTTTATTTAAATTATATAAACACATAGTAATAATAGCATTTTCATTACTACATGACAGGAGTTTTATACAGTATTATGGAATGTTTTTGAATTTTCTGGTTAACTATCCATTAACTCAACAAATATAGATCTATACCAGGATGCCATTAACATTCCCTCTTCTTGACTGGACTATAGATAGGATTCTTTCTGACTCTAGGTCGTAACCTTTTTTCTTAGAGCATTTATTTTAGAACACTTGTTATTTCATTTTTGTCTGTACCGCTTTGAGATGTAAATCTCTCTGCACCTTGCCAGTTTTTACAACCCAGGAAAGTCTTTCTCATAATGGCCTCATCTCCCCATCTTTATGGGAGAGTATAAGCCTAACTTAGATAAACAATATTAGCAAACACAGATGGTCTAATAACATTGGCAAACCTCCTCACTAACATCTTCTGGTAGAGTGGTTTCTTGGAGTTGGTTTCAGGGACCTCACAGATACCAAAATTTGTGGTTGTTCAAGTCCCTTAAAAATCAACCCTACAGTGTCTTTGTAAAGCAACCACACTAATAAGTCAACATAATAACCAGCTAACAGTACCACAACAGGATCAACTTCATATATATCAATACTAACTTTGAATGTAAATAGTCTAAATGTCCCCACTTAAAAGCGGGGCACAAAGTAGCAAGCTAAATAAAATGTTATGCTATTTTCAAGAGACCCATTTCATAGATGATGACACTCTTAAGGGGCTCAACATTAAAAAATGGAGAAAAATCTACTAAGCAAATGGAAACCAAATAATAGCAGGCTGTGTAATCCTAGTTTCAGACGAAACAGATTTTAAACCAGCAAAGATCAAAAAAGACAAGGAAAGGCATTACATAATGATAAAGGGTTTAATTCAGCAAAATATACATGCACCCAACACAAGAACACCCAGATTTATAAAGCAAGCTCTTAGAGTCCTATAAAGAGACATAGACTCCCACACAATAATTGTGGGACACTCCAACATTCCATTGACATTATTAGACAGATAACTGAGAAAGAAAATTAACAAAGATAATCAGGACCTAAACTCAGCATTGGGCCAAATGGATCTGATAGACCTTTACAGAAGTATCCAGTAGACATATGGAGAATATATCTACTGAATATATAAAACTAAATCCAGCAGCACATCAAACAGTATGATATACATTCTTCTCATCACCAAATGGTACATAGTCTATAATCGACCACCTAATTGGACATAAAACAATCCCCAACAAATGTAAAAGAACTGAAATCATACTAATTAAACTCTTGGGCCACAGCACAATAAAACTAGAAATCAGCACAATGAAAATCACTCTAAAGCATACAATTATGTGAAAACTAAACAACGTGCTCCTGAGTAATTTTTGGGTAAATCATGAAATTAAGGCAGAAATCAAGAAGTTATTTGAAAATAATGAGAAGAAAGATACAATGTATCAGAATCTCTGTGAAAGAGGTAAGGCAGTGCTAATAGGGAAATTCAGAGCACTAAATGCCCACATAAAAAAAGTTAAAAATATCTCAACTTAACAACATAACTTCACAACTGAAAGAGTTAGAGAAGCAAAAACAAATCAACCCCAAAGCTAGCAGAAGATGAGAAATAACAAAAATCAGAGGTGAACTGAAAGAAATCGGGACATGGAAAACCATTCAAAAGTTCAACATATCTGGGAGCTTGTTTTTAGAAAAAAAAAACTAAAATAAAATAGATAGGCCGCTAGCTAGCATAATTAAGAAGAAAAGAGAGATCTAAATACACACAACTAGAAATGATGACGGGAATGTCACTACTTACCTCACAGAAACAAAACAACCATCAGAAACTACTATGAACACATCTACATACACAAACTAAAAAACCTAGAAGAGACAGATAAATTCCTGGACACATACACTCTCCCACAACTGATCCAGGAAAAAAATCGATTTCCTGAAGGGACCAATGATAAGCACTGAAATTAAATCTGTAATAAATACCCCACTAATCAAAAAAGCCAAGTACCAGATGGATATGCAGCGGAATTCTACTAGATGTATGAAGAAGAACTGGTATCGTCTCTACAGAAACTATTTAGATAAATTGAAAGATGAGGAACTAATCCTTAAATCATTCTATGAGAACAGCATCATCTTGATACCAAAATCTGACAGAAATACAACAAAAAAAGAATCAGGCCAATATTCTTGATGAACAAGAAAAATGTTCTGGAGAAAAAATTCTCAACAGAATACTTGCAAACCAAACACAGAAGCACATAAAAAAACTAATCCACCACAATCAAGTAGGCTTCATTCCCAGGATGCAAGGTTGGTTCAACATAAAAATATCAATAAATGTGATTTAGCACATAAACAGAACGAAAGATAAAATTGGCATAATTATTTCAACAGATACAGAACAGCCTTTTGATAAAATTCAACATGGCCTCATGTTAAAAATAACTCTCAATAAGCTAGGCATTTATGACAAACCCACAGCCAATATGATACACAATGGGCAAAAACTGGAAGCATTACTTTTGACAACTGGAGCTAGACAAGGGTGCCCTCTCTCACCACTGCTATTCAACATAGTATTGGAAGTTCTGGACTGAGAAATCAGGCAAGAAAAAGAAATAAATACACTCAATTCGGAAAAGAGGAAGTAAAACTGTCTATATTTGCAGATGAAACGATTATATATTTAGAAGAACCCATTGTCTCAGCCCAAAATCTCCTTAAGTTGATAAGCAACTTCAGCAAAGTCTTTGTGCAAAATCAAAGGATTTGCACAGGATACAAAATCAATGTGCAAAAATCACAAGCATTCCAATACATAAATAACAGAGAAACAGAGAACCAAATCATGAGCGAATTCCCATTCACAATTGCTACAAAGAAAATAAAATACCTAGGAATACAACTAACAATAGATGTGAAGGACCACTTCAAGGCAAACTACAAATGACTGCTCAGAGAAATAAGAGAGGACACAAACAGCTGAAAAAACATTCCATGCTCATTATTTGAAAGAATCAATATTGTGAAAATGGTCATACTGCCTAAAATAATTTATAGATTCAATGCTATCCCCATTAAGCTACTACTGACCTTCTTCAAATAACTGAAAGAAAAAAAAAAAAAAAAACCTTAAACTTCATATAGAACCAGAAAAAGAATCCACATAGTCAAGACAGTCCCAAGTAAAAACAAACAAACAAAAAACAAAGCTGGAGGCATCATGCTACCTGACTCCAAACTATAATACAAGGCTACAGTAATCAAAACAGTCTGGTACTGGTACCAAAACAGAGATATAGACCAATGGAACAGAACAGAGGACTCAGAAGTAATGACACACATCTACCACAATTTGATCTTTGACAAACCTTACAAAAACAAGCAATGGGGAAAGGATTTCCTATTTAATAAATGGTGTTGGGCAAACTGGCTAGCCATATACAGGAAGCTGAAACTGGACCCCTTACTTACACCTTATACAAAAATTAACTCCAGATGGATTAAAGATTTAAACATAAGACCTAACACCATAAAAATCCTAGAAAAAAACCTAGGCAATACCATTCAGGACATAGGCATAGGCAAGGACTTCATGACTAAAATACCAAAAGCACCTGCAACAAAAGTCAAAATAGACAAATGGGATCTAATTAAACTTAAGAGCTTCTGCACAGCAAAAGAAACTATCATAAAAGCAAATCGGCAACCAACAGAATGGGAGAAAAATTTTGCAATGTACCCATATGATACCAAAATCTGACAGAAATACAACAAAAAAGAGTCAGGCCAATATTCTTGATGAACAAGAAAAATGTTCTAGAGAAAAAATTCTCAACAAAATACTTGCAAACCAAACACAGAAGCACATAAAAAAACTAATCCACCACAATCAAGTAGGCTTCATTCCCAGGATGCAAGGTTGGTTCAACATACAAATATCAATAAATGTGATTTATTGATATTTGTATGTTGGGCTAATAATGAGAATCTACGAAGATTTAA